CACTCTTCGATGTATGCCCACCGAAGAATGTTCTAAGAACCCCTTGTGGTCTGCACGAGAGGTTCTTAGAATCCTTTCGGGCCGAGACGGTCTTGTTTTAGCACATCGGGCCTCTGTTCTAAGAATCTTGCTTTTGTTCTTAGCACGTGTTCGGTTTCTAGCAACAGGTCGTGGCAGACCTATAGGAATGCCAGGACGGTCGGTCCTTGCTCAAAAAAAAAAAAACTGACCCCTAAACGCTCAACACCTGGTATGGTCCGCACTGCGGGCGCCATCTTTTACGGCTGCGCCGATCACCCAGATCAGCTCAGCCCGCTCAGCTCCAGCCAGCTGCCCCACCGGCGGTAGGTTCTGATTTCGGGCTCGGTCGCTGCTGTGCTTCTCGGCTTGCGCGTTGCCAATTAGATCGGCCCGTGGCCCGGACCTTTCGACTCGGCGCCTGCGCGTCCGCTTGCGCCCGCGAGAAACAATTCTCAGATCGAAGCGTCCCCTCGATCTCCTTGCCTGCTGCCCTCCATCCATCCCTGTCCTGGTGACCTCCGCGTTTCCTCAAGCCGAGCCGTCCAGGGTCTTCCATTGTATGCGGGCGCTGGCGGACCGTGCGGCCGAGCTCCGTGTCCTTCAGGTTGTTGGGGCCAGCGTTTCCGGAGAGCGCACTCAGCGCCATGTATCGGGGGCCCCCAAACGGTGTGGTGACCACACCGTGCGGTGAGTCGGTGGGGATTCGGGGTCACCGCACGGTTTTGGGACTCGAGTCCTTCTCCGAGGATGTCTCGGGCGACAGGGGCCTCCAGGGTCCCAAAACCGTGCGGTGACGGACCGTGCGGTGAGGTCTGGGAGGATTTCGAGGTCACCGCACGGTCAGTCACCGCGCCGTTTTGGGACTCCCAAATGTAGGCAGACCCGATGCTTTGGAGGGCCCCGAAGCCCGTCGTGTTCCCCGCTGGTGCCCTCCGAGCGCAGCTGACGTCGAGACTCGCAGGATCCCCGCACGATCCCACACCCCGACGCCGTGCCTGCTCTGGTTCGCAAGCCGCGCCCCTGGAGGTCTGGACCGCTTGCCCGACGGGCTTCTTCACCCCGAGTCGTGTCTTGGCGGCTACGTGGGTCAGACTCCGTTGCCTCCAAACCCGTTCCCCCCAGGGGACAGCTCTTCGCCCCGCGGACCCGCTTGTGATGGCCACGGGGCGCCACCGACCTGCCCCGTGGAGGAGGGAGGAGGAGGAGGAGGAGGAGGAGGAGGAGGAGGAGCGGAGGAGGAGGAGGAGGAGGAGGAGGAGGAGGAGGAGGAGGAGGAGGAGGAGGAGGAGAGGATGAGGGAGGAGGAGGAGGAGAAGGAGGATGAGGAGGAGGAGGAGGAGGAGGGGAGGAGGGGGGAGGAGGAGGAGGAGGAGGAGGAGGAGGGAGGAGGAGGAGGAGGAGGAGGAGGAGGAGGAGGCGGAGGGGGAGGCGGCGGAGGAGGCGGAGGAGGCCCCAAACCCTCCGTTGCGATTCTCTCTCTCTCTCTCTCTCGGTGCGAAGCGATCTGGGCTCGGGGCGCGGCCAGCACCGAGGCAGTACGTCTGCGCGCGCTCGTGCTCTGCGGCGCAACTCGAGCCCCGAAGGGTCCACACTCGGCCCCGGCCCCAGCGTCAGATGCGTGCCGGCCAGAACTTCGAGTCGGATCCAGCCGTGAAGGCGAGGGCGCCCAAGGAGTCCCAGAAAGGGCAGAGCAGTGTGCGTGCATGTGTGCATGCGTATGTTTATGTGTATAGATATACGTACATATATCTATATATATATATATGCACATATATATATATACATATATATATATATATATATATGTATACGTGATTGTACGCGTATACTACACGGGTACAGTTTCTACGTGTATGCAAGAGGCATGAAGTTGCGCTCTCGAGATTCGCCCCTCTCGATCTTTGAACTTCTTTTTTTCTCTCTCTCTCTCTCTCGTCGACGTGCTGCACGGCGCCAGCAAGTCGCAACGGCGTCCGAGGTGTCCGTGCGGCTCGTGAAGTTCCGGCAGGAGCAGCCCGAGCCCGAGCAGCCCGTTGCGGCCGCTGCTGCAGTGCCCGCCCGTCCTCCGCTGGGCATGCCGCACGGGCGGGGCCCGGCCGGGCGGGGCGCTGGGCGCGGCTGGCCCGGGCGGCACGGCTATCCTCTGCCAGGACTCTGCCACGAGCCCGGCATCGGAGGAGGAGGAGGAGGTCCCGATGCAGCTGCTCGTCCTGGACAGCCCTCCCAACGTCATGATTTTTGCATTACGTCGACCTCCAGAGGTCTCGACCCATGCCCCGGGACCGGTTTTTCGTCTCGGATCGTTTTTTTACGGTCCCGAAACCCAGGAAGGGCCTCTCAGAGACCAAAAATGACGAACAGCGTCCCGACATGATTTTTGCACCGCTCGAGGGGATTTGGGCTCGTCGCCACGACCAGCTTCGCCTCGAGATTTTCTGGTCAGCTTCCTCCTCCTCCTCCTCCTCCTCCTCCTCCTCCTCCTCCTCCTCCTCATCATCATCATCATCATCCCCCTCCTCCCCCTCCGCCGTCTCCTCAAGCTCCTCCTCCTCCTCCTCCTCCTCCTCATCATCATCATCATCATCATCCCCCTCCTCCTCCCCCTCCTCCTCCTCCTCCTCCTCCTCCTCCCTCCCTCCTCCTGGACGGTTTTTTTTTGGTGGCCAGCCTGGGCCTCCTGGTGGGGGGGGGGGGGGGGCTCCTCGTGGCCACGACGGGGCCCCGCCCCCAGCAGCGTTGGCCAGGGCGCGCCCCGGGCTGCTTTGTCCAGGGCCAAGGGTCCTGAGGGTCGTTCGCCTGCGCCCGCCAATCAGAACAGGTAAAAACACATGAACACAAAGATGTGTTATTGGTTTTACGCCGGAGGGGGGCGTCGTTGAGAGGGTGCCGGGCACGGATGCGGGGATCGGGGTGGCGTCGGTGTTTGGAGCTGGCGGGCCAGACCTTGGGCCAAGGTCTGGCCCCGGGTCGTTCTCGCCCACCAAAGGGTGTTCTGCCAAAGGTGGCCCTGTCCGCCCCCTCGATCCAGGGCGGGATCGCCTGCCGCAAATCATGGGGTAATCTCAGGTTGGAGTCGGGCATGTCTCTCTCTACGGGAGGGGTGCGCTTGCAGCTGATTGGGATTGGGGCATCCAGAAATACACTGGGGGCGCGCGTCAAGAAACCATAATGCTTTTCCTCAGGGTATCCTGGGTTTCTCCGCTCCTCGCGCTGCGCGGTGACTTCCCGCGGCCGTTGGAGGAGATGCTGCGTTCAGGGTGCTCCGGGTTTCCCCTCAGGTGCACTTCTCGCGCGGGTTCTCAGGCTTGGGCTTCTTGCGAGGGTTTCTTGCGGTCGCGCCCGCACTTCATGATGCTCCAACCTACTTCAGCCTGAACCATCATAAAGGATTTCGAGCACGAAGGACGTACCAAAGTTGGAGGGTTTTCATGCGTCGGGCTCTGGGAGGCGATACTCGTTCGACCCTGTTTCGACACTTTTCTAGTTGTTCGAAGGTGCTTCCGGGTTTGGGTCCTCAATTACGATGGGAGCAACATCACAAGGGGCCTACATTTCAGTCGGGCCTGTCCCTCTACAGCACAGGAGGATTATTTTAAGCATCGTAAAAACAAAACATGGGAACGATTGTCTGATTTTCTTGTTTTAGATGTTTACAGACTGGTCTTCATTTGTCCTACAAGATCTGACTGTAGGTGGGACACGCCCGACCTAAGCCCACATCTGACGTCCGAACTTGGAGGGGCTCCTGCTGCCGCGAGCACATGAACGACGGCCCACTTTCTGCTGCTTTCAACATCTGGGGGCCCTTCCCAGGCCCGGGGATAGACAGGAAGCCTGCCCCGATGTGCACAGCGGTCCCGGGGAGGGGATCCAGGCCCCCAGGAACGCTCGGGATTCAGGGGCTCTCCCTCTCCGCTGCCTCTGCTCTTGCGTGCTGCGTGGATCTGTGTGCGTCGCTCCTCTGCCGCTGCGCTGCAGTGGCAGAGGAGCGTGCCGCGTGTGAACCAACCGGGGGCCGTGTGCGAGATCAGCCTGGTGCCCCCGCGCAGGTTGTTGTTCTGTGCCGGGGCGCGTGCGCGTCGGCGCGCGCTGCCAGGCCACGGCATCCCTCTGCCAACTCATGCTGCTGCTGCTGCCTTGGTGATTCCACCGGGCGCCTTTTCGCCACGCATCAGCGAACGCTGCGCATCCCGAGGTTGCTACGTTGTCTATGCAGCGCGTCATCTGGGTCCACTTTGCGCCCTGTGTGTGCAAGAGTCGATTGACGAAGCGTATATGATAGGGGGCGGTCCCAGCCTTACGGCCGTACAGTGATAGGTTGCGAACTCCGCGAACGAGTTCTCACAACTTTACATCGAGACTACTTCTCTGATTCTCGCTCTGCGAGCTACTGTATCTAAATTGCACCTCGACGTGCATCCTCAAGTATCTATTTGAAAGTCAACCTTGTCTGGATCACATCAGGCATACAGCTATTGTACGGACACTCTGGCAAGTTCGCCACATCCAATGGTTATCGGTGACAGGCGCATTTTGCAGTTGCGAAGCGTTCGTCTTACACAGTGTCATTGGTTCAGTTCGCTGTAGATACATGCCGTTACTGCCCTGAAGTGGACCCAGCGTCAAAACGCGCTGCAAGTAAGAATTGGTTGAGATCGGTACTGCACCAAGTGAGGTTCGAGAGTCGAGGATCTAGTAGTTCTTGTTACGGTATTCTCTTGGAGGAGGTGACGACCCCTTTGGTGGTGACCCCCCCCTGCCCTGATATCCGACGACGCGAAAGAATTGTCGCATCGGGTAAAAACGCGACCAGATCCTGGGACCTCATGCCCATGCTGCACTTTCGAGCCGGATCGATCTGTGAGGGCCTCAGGGCCCGAATCCATGCGAAAACGCCTGGCCCAAAACAAAGGTGCGACGCCAGGATCTCCAGGTGGAAATGTCTGAGGACTCTCCCGGCGCCCTGCGGAGGACATCCCATGTACGGGGCGGGCAGCGACTCCGACGGCTACGGCGACCGGGGGCATGCGGGAGCCATGGGGTGCCAGTGCCCAGCCCTCGGGTGGACTAATTGGTGCTGTCTCACGGAGTTCTGCTCGTTCTCGGCCAGGGGGGGCTATCTGCCAGCAGCCTGAGGCAGACCCCTTTATCCTTTAGTCTGGCATGTCCCTCTACAGGGGGAAGATGCAAAACTAGTCAGAAAAAAAGATATGGGGACGATGTTTCGAGTATGTTTTGAATATTTGTTGCGTCTGTTTTGGACATGTTCTATTTTTCGTCCAAGTTCCGCCTGTAGGGGGACATGCCCGACCTGACCCTATCCCTATGATTGGCATCACCTCATCTCGAAGGCGATCTTAACTTAGGGGTAGGGATCAGCTCGAGGTTGGGATCTTAACTTAGGGGTAGGGATCAGCTCGAGGTTGGGATCTTAACTTAGGGGTAGGGGTCAGCTCGAGGCTGGGATCTTAACTCAGGGGTCGGGATCAGCTCGAGGCTGGTTAATCCTGTGGCCCCGGGGCCACGAAGCAAGCTGAGCCTGGCCGCCGGGACGCACAGGTACCCTGGGCAAGGGCTCGGGACCTCTGGGGCTCGCGGGCGGAAAATAGATACAGATGTCGTGGGGGGCCTGTGTACGTACCTATGTCTTCTCCTCTCTCCTTGCTCCCCTACGCCGTCTGGGCTCGACGTATGACTGAGAGATTTGGCCATTCTATTAAGTGAGTCGTTTTGGAAGCTCATTGATACCCTGTTTGATATTTGTGCAGGCTACTGAACGGCCACCGGAGGCCGCCAAAGGCAGCTACAAGGTCAATACATGCCACTGGATGCTCAATACATGCCACTGGATGCTACTAAACCGAGGTGTTGTATGTTAGAATGAGCTTCTGAAAAGACTTCCCCAAATGTTACCCTGGGTTGGGAATTTCATCGGCAACATCTTGCCTGCGGATCTTACTGAAGGGTTAGGGTATGCCCGCGCCGTGCTGAAGCGGTGGCGACCCCAGCGCGGGCGTTCAGGGTTGAGCGCCGCCGGTGGTCTGGAATCGGCCGATGTCGAAAGATCTGCGCTATATCGGAAAGCCGCGATCGCCCAAGGATGAAGGTTTCGCGCGGTGTCAGAAGTCAACGCTAGCGTCGTCACGACACGAACTTGCCGTGAGCCCTCCCCCCTTCCCGAATCTCGGCCGTCGTCTGTTTTTGACGCGAAGTTGGCTCGCGCGGAGCTCTCGACCCTGCCCTCGGGACTGGCTGTTCACGGTGCGGGTCATCTCTTGACGCTTTGGAGGCTTGCAACACCAACACAGGGGGGCGCTTCCACCGGGTGAAGATGATCCTAGAGTCTGGTGTTGGTGGTAGTCTTTGGGCCTCAGGAGCCCAGAACGTCACCGCCATCGCCGAGATCGGGATCATCTTCCCTCGGTGGAGGCACGCCGCCAATCTTGGTGATGGTGCCCACCTGTAGGCCTCCGAGTGTCTTCCTGGCCTCAGGGATGCCCGGGTTGAGAAAGAGCGTCTGGTCGCGATGACTCGGCGGCGAGCGAGGAGGGAAGTGAGAAGGAGAAGGCCTTCTCAGAAGGCGGCGGGACTTCTCAGAAGCCTGCGCGCCTTCCGAGCAGCTTCCCGTGTCTTCGAGGAAGGCTTCGGAAACTCCTCAGAAGGCCAGGGGACGTCCGAGCCTTCTGAGAGGGCCCGCCCCTTCTCACCTCCCTGAAGTCGGGCACGTCCCTCTACAGGAGGAGTATTCAAGAATCGTAAAACATAGAATCATTGGGCGCTTTTTCTATTATATTTGAACTATGCTGTGGATTTGTTTTGCCTATTTTGCATTTGTCGTCCAAATCCTCCTGTAGGGGGACATGCCCGACCTAACCTTATCTCTACGATTGGCATCACCACATCTCTAAGCCGATCTTAACTTAGGGGTAGGGATCAGCTCGAGGGGGTCCCAGCGTGCTGCCAAGGGTTCAGATGATATCCTGCGACGCCCGCCTGGGGGCCTCCGCCCCCCAAGCAGGGCGAGCAAGAGCGAGCGAGCGAGGAGGAGGAGGAGGAGGATCCTCCTCCTCCTCCTCCTCCTCCTCTTCCTCCTCCTCCTCCTCTTTGTCCTCCTCCTCCTCCTCCTCTCCCTCCTCCTCCTCCTCCTCCTCCTCCTCCTCCTCCCTCCTCCTCCTCCCCTCCTCCCTCCTCCTCCTCCTCCTCCTCCTCCCTCCTCCTCCCCTCCTCCTCCTCTCTCCTCTCCTCCTTCTCCTCCTCCTCCCCTCCTCTCCTTATCCTCCTCCTCCCCTCCTCTCCTCCTCCTCCTCCTCCTCCTCCTCCCCTCCTCATCCTCCTCCTCCTCCTCCTCCTCCTCCTCCTCCCCTCCTCCCCCTCCTCCCCTCCTCCTCCTCCTTCTCCTCCTCCTCCTCAGCCTCCTCCTCCTCGACCTCGGCGGCAGGCGGTGGATTTGGATCTATTCGGGCCCCCCGGGGGCCAAGAGATGTCCATGTCCCTGGGCCGTTGCTTCCACTCGCTCTCTCGTGCCGTACTTCGGAGCGCGTGGGCGAACGGAAGACCATGCAAGCATGTTTTTAACCGCTCTGCGGGGGTAGCGGGACGGCGGGGGTCACAGAACGTAGCACCCCGCAGCCGCGGGTAAGAGTCAGGGGGCGACGGGGACGGTAGCAGTCTGCGATGCTCTGGAGAGCCCGCCGCAGGCGCGTGATTTTCACAAACTATACAACGAGCCCGCCACAGGCACCGATTCTTCGTGAAAGCAATATGGGTGGGTCGCGGGCGGGGTCGCGGGTGGGTCGAGGGTGGGTCGCGGGTGGGTCGCGGGCGGGGTCGCGGGTGGGTCGCGGGCGGGTCGCGGGGTGGGTCGCGGTCAGGGTCGCGGGTGGTCGGGGGTGGGGCGGGTGTGTCGCGGGCGGGTCGCGGGGTGGATCGCGGGTGGGTCGCGGGCGGGTCGCGGGTGGGTCGCGGGTAGGTCGCAGGTGGGTCGCGGGAGGGCGGGTCGCGGGTGGATCGCGGGTGGGTCGCGAGCGGGTCGCGGAAGGGTCGCGGGGTGGGTCGCGGGCGGGTCGCGTTGTGGATCGCGGGTGGGTCGCGGGCGGGTCGCGGGTGGGTCGCGGGTGGGTCGCGGGTTGGGTCGCGGGTGTGTCAATGGCCGGGTCGCGGAGGGAACGGCGCCAAACAGCAACAAACAATGACAAAAACGCAAACAACGAACAAACACACATACGCACAAACAACGACCAACAACAATAAGCATCCGCATCGCGGAGTGCCATTTCAGTCACGCACCCAGGGACAGTGAATAACCGCTCGGCCCCCTTTGATTTACAGCGTGGTCGGCAGGAGGAGGAGGAGGAGGAGAAGGAGGAGGGAGGAGGAGGATGAGGAAGAGGAGGAGGAGGATGAGGAGGAGGAGGAGGAGGAGGAGGAGGAGGAGGAGGAGGGGAGGGGGAGGAGGAGGAGGAGGAGGAGGAGGAGGAGGAGGAGGAGGAGGAGGAGGAGAAGCAGGAGGAGACGGAGGAGGCGGAGGGGGAAGAGGAGGGAGGAATCGCAGCGGCAACGCATGCAACACCGTACGGGTAAGATTGCTCTGTGGCCACGGCGCAACGACACGAACACAACGTATACTTCAATGTAACCGCGCGGTCGACGCATCGTCGAGCGACACGCTTCGCAAAAAAAACCACGCCCGACAGGGTCCTGCACCCACTGTAGAATCAAAGCGTGCGAACTGAAGCATGTGGAAATACTTCTGCAGAGCCCGTGTGCCCACCTCTGCTGCGGTGGGCCTCGCCTGCGTTTGAGCGCGCCCGTGGCTGATAGAACTCAGGAGAGGAAAAAGCACACAGACACAATTAATCCTCGATTCCCCAGAAACTATGGGAAAATATGGGAAGCGGGGGAGAAGACAGAAACCCAGAACATGTGGGAAAATATGGGGACTATTTTTATTTGTGTGTATTTATTTGTGTGTCCTGGGGCCCCTTCAAGAACAGCGTCAGGCCGACATGTCGCTCGACTCAGAAAGGCAGCCCTGGGTCGCGACAACTCGTCTTGACCACATGTGGAAGCGGCTGATGCCGCCACACGGCATGAATAGGGAGGAGAAGAATGGGAGGAGCAAGGGCACGACTCGTTTTGAGGCCCGACTCGTTTTGAGGGGCCTCGGGCTAGACATGCTCAAGCCTCTGGAGGGCGGGGATCCTCCTGCCTGGTGGCCCAGGCCTGGCTGGCGTCTCCTCGTGGCTGGCCCCGACGAGGACGCCTCGGAGGGACGCGATGTATACACCAGGTCTTTTGATCGGACAAGGGACCGAGAAGATCGGCGAAGCACTTCGGCGCATCGACATTGAAGCGTCCTACAGGCCGAGAAGCTGGGGCGTCTGCACACCGAGCCCCTTGGCCGACCAGAGGACTCGGTGCATGCTTCGAACCCCTCCCAACGCCGACGACGACGACACCGTCGACGACGACGACAACGCCGACGACGATGACGACGACGACGTCGACGACGACGACGACCACCACGATCACGACCGCGACCACGACCACGATCACGACGACGACGACGCCGACGACGACGACGACGTCGACGACGACCACGACGACCACGACCACGACTACGACCACGACCACGAGGACGACCACCACCACGACCACGACGACGACGATGATGACGACGACGACGACGACGACGACGACGACGACGACGACGACGACGACGACGACGACGACAACGGCGACTTCGACGGCGACGGCGACGGCGACGTCGTGGGAGAGCCTGCGCCGCCGAGGCGACCCGTACGGGGACCCGTACATGAGCGACGACAGCATGGGCATGAGCGACGACGGCATGGGCTTCGGCGGCTTCGGCCTGGGCTTTGCGCACACGGTGGGCTGCGAGGATCATCGGAGGTTGATAGATCTCCTACCCTGACACGTCGATTAGCGAATTGGCCGTTTTCGGTTCGCGAGAGGGCGTCGCGGCCGTCATTTTTGCGGGCCAGGTCCGTCGGTTTCGGTCCCAGGCCGTTTTCATTGAAGGATGGTGTATTAAAGAGAGGTTTGTCCACCGCCGAGATCAGGGCAGGGCTAGACCTAAACGCCGTTTTGCTGGACTTCGGCTGTGTTGTATTTTTCGTTTTGGCAGGGAGGTACAGGAAAACGAGGAGAGCAAGACGAAGCACAACTCGAAAACAAAACGAAACACAACGTTTAGATCCAGCCCTGGATCAAGGGCTCAGTGGGCCCTGGAAGCCGCAGGGCCGTCTGTCACCGTTCCCGAAAACGTGTCGCTGGAGCATGGAAGCGGTAACGCAATGGCAACCGAAAGCGACAACAAAACCGGCTCTGGAATTGGAGCCGGAGCCGGAGCCGGAGCCGTAAAAAAATCGGCGACAGAACGGGCAAACAAATGGCGGTGGAACCGGCAACAAAAACGACAGAACGGAACAGGCAGAAAGCGGCCCTGTCGTTTCCAGGGCCCACTGAGGTCAGGGGCAAGACTCGGGGTCGACAGGCTCATGGTGGGGACTTGGGGGCCACATGCGAACCCTACACCCCTGGCCCCCACGATTTCTGAGGGGGAGGGTGGGGCTCACTTCGCTCGGGAGCTCCCGAACGAAGTGAGCCCCACCCTCACCCTCAGAAATCGTGGGGGGTGGGGGTACAGCGCCAGTTTTAATACATGCTCCGCGCGCGGATCATGTATTGAAAATGCAGGGATCTAGTATGACAAACAGCGATGAGCTCATGCACACATTGATTCATAAATGAATCCTATGTGTTGAAAATCCGATATGTTTAAGAACCCTATGTATTAGAAGCTGCCCTGTAGGGTTCGCCTGTGGCCCCCCAGGGGGCGCATCAGCCCCCCGATCGCTGACCCTTCCCGCCGAGGTATATGGGGCCCGACAGAGCGCCCCGCCTCGGGCCCGTGCTAGCTCGTGATATCGGGGGCCTGGCGCCGGCGTGCTGGCGATCTGCCGCCGATGCCAGGCTTTGAAGCCGGGCATGTCCCTTTACAGGGGGACGATTGACAGATGGTCAAAACAAATGTGTGTGTGGGGGGGGGGGACGATGTTTTGCGCATGTTTAAAACAATTGTGGCGCATTTGTTGGCGAGGTACCGCCGATGCCAGGTTTAGGTCGGGCATGTCCCTCTGCAGGGGGACGATTGAAAGATACTCAAACAAATTTTGTGTGGGGGGACGATGTTTTGTGTATTTTTCAACATTTGTGGCGCATTGGCTTGACTTTGTCTTTAATGCTTTGTCCAGAATCCGCCTGCAGGAGGACAGGCCCGACCTGATTCCAGGTCCATGTTTACCCCCCCGAAGCCGGTGCTTCCTGCATCGTCCCCCGTCAGAGGAGGAGGGTGAGCGAGGGGGAGGGGGAGGAGGACGCGAGACCAAACAGCGTCACGAGCACAAGCTTTGTCAGGGGCAACGATAGTGGGGTACAGGCATAGGGGGGGACGTATTCACTCCCAAATGCTCATAGATCGCCGATAAGGGGCCCGATAGCTCCAACCCACAGAGGCAAGTGCGGATCCACTATCGGGGACGTATCGCCGATCTATCGGCGATGTATCGCCGATTCCAGGTCGATGCATCCCCCCCTATGCCAGGTCCCCCCCTATCTCGGCGGCGAGCGAGGGGCGGAAGAGAGAAGGAGAAGGCCTTCCCAGAAGGTTCGGAAGCCCCCCAGCCTTCCGAGGAGTCTCCGAAGCCTCCCCCCCGAAGATAGCAACACATTTCTCGGAAGGCGCGAGGGCTCCTGAGAAGTCCCGCCGCCTTCTGAGAAGGCCACCTCCTTCTCACTTCCCCCCCGTTTGCTCGCCGCCGAGTGATCCAGGGAGGGTTTCCGAGGTGACCTCGTCCCCGGAGGCCCCCCCTCCTCCCAGACCCCGACGTCATGATTTTTCCATAACGTCGGCCTCTGGAGGTCTCGACCCATTCCCCTGGACCGGGTTTTCATCCTGAGTCGCCGCCGGCTCTCGCTGCCCCTCGCTCTGGGAGTCGGGTATAGCCAGGACTCCGGGTAAGGGGACCCGGCTAGTGGTAGGGCCCTGGGGCCCCTCAATTGGCTAGATTCACAAAAAACCAGGTTTGCCGTAACTGGTTCTTTTCGGGTGACGGCAGTTCCGGTTAGTGGAAATGGGACAGGGGGTTACCAGCCTGGAACATATCCCTATCCCTATGCTGGGCACCTCCTCATCACGATGCCAATCTTAGGGATTCCCTTGTTTTTTGAGGGCGAATCCCTCAGACTGTCATCGCCTTTTGGCGTGTCAATCTTAGGGATGGGGATACGTTCGAGGCTGGTAAGGGGGGGGCGGCGCCCCCGGCACAAATCACTAGACCAGGTTCCATTGAACCCAGTGTTGCCAACGCCCGAGGGAGGCCCGCGCGGAGAGAGCTCCCGGGGCGGCGCGCTGGGCCACGGCGCCCTGCACACGCCAGAGACATGGGGCGGCGCCTCGTGCGCCGGCACCGCCGCCGGCGCCCCGCGTGCTCGCTCGGGGGGGGGAGGGGGGGCGGGGAGAGTGGCCTGAAGTCTCGGGGGTGGACAGAGCCCCCAACATCAGCGAGCGAAGAACGGTATAGAATAAACTTTTTCGCCGTCGGGGGCGCCTGTCCCTGGGCGGCTGGAAAGTTTATACCCCTACGGTGCCACCGTAAGGGTATAAACTTTCCAGCCGCCCTGGGACAGGCGCCCCCGACAGCGAAAAAGTTTATTTTATGCCGCTCTTCGCCCGTTAACAACAGTGACACGTCGATTAGTGAGTTGTCCGTTTTCGGTTCTCGAAAGGGCGCCGTGGGCGCTGTTTTCCAGGCTTGCGCCCGCCAGGTTTGGGCCTCAGGACGTTTTCACTAAACCACGTTTTGCTAAAGGGGGGTCTGTCCATCCCCGAAAGTCGTGCGTGTGCCTGCACAGGAGGAAGATGCAAAATTAGCCAAAAAAACCAAGGGGACGATTGTTCTACTATGCTTGACTGTTTTGGATCACGGTCTGACTAATTTTCGAACTGTCGCCCAAGATCCGCCTGTAGGCGGACATGCCCGACGTGAGAGTAGCTAGTTTGTGTTATTTTCCACACAAAATCTGCCTGTAGGGGGACACGCTCAACCTAGCCCAGCGCCGACACCAGAAATCCGTTCGCACATCTGCCATTGGCGAACAACTCACGCACGAAACCGAAAAAAAACACAGGGAATGGACGTGCCAGCGATGGCCAGTTCTACCTACGGCAGAGGGAAAGAATCAGTGGATGCGCCTCTCCTCCCTCAAACTCATCAAGGTTGTCACGCGCGGAGGAGGCTGCGGTCGAGGTGCAATGCATCAGACCCACCGCCAACTCTGAAGATTGCAGGGAGGGGAAGCGTTGACCGATAAATGTGGCATGTGTGTTCGCTACTTATGATTGTTCCTAGGCCTGCAGGTGCAGGTGCGCTCGCATCAGGTCTGACATCCCTCCTCTGCCGCGACGGGCTCTTGATGGCGTGTCTGTGCAACAACAAAAGTGTGCCCTGATGGGCCTGTTTTCCACCCACCACCACCATGAGTTGGAGGGGGGAGGAGGTGGAGGACGATAGGAGGAGGAGGAGGAGGAGGAGGAGGAGGAGGAGGAGGAGGAGGAGGAGGAGGAGGAGGAGGAGGAGGAGGAGGAGGAGGAGGAGGAGGAGGAGGAGCAGGAGGAGGAGGGAGGAGGAGGAGGAGGAGGAGGAGAGAGGAGGAGGAGGAGGTAGTGGACGAGGAGGAGGAGGAGGAGGAGGAGGAGGAGGACTCCCTCCCCCTCCAACTTATGGTCTCCAACTTATGGTGGTGGTGGTGGTGGTGGTGGTGGTGGTGGTGGTGGTGGTGGTGGTGGAAAACAGGCCCATCATGCCCCTCCGCCGAGGCGGCGTGGGCGTGGGTCTGCCGGTGCGGCCACGAGAACTCGGAGCGCAACCGGCGGTGCGGGCGGTGCAACACCTGGCGGTACCAGGGCGAGGTGCGGCGCATCCGGTCCGGGCGCCCCCGCTCTGGCTCTCCCGAGGAGGGCCCAGGCCCCAGAGTGGAGTCGGGAATGTCCCCCTACAGGAGGAAGGTTCAAGAATGCAGGAGGATTCAAGGGAGGAGGGAGGAGGAGGAGGAGTAGAAGGAGGAGGAGGAGGAGGAGGAGGAGGAGGAGGAGGAGGAGGAGGAGGGAGGGGCAGGAGGAGGTGGAGGAGGAGGGGGCAGGAGGAGGACGAGGAGGAGGAGGAGGAGCGACGGGGCCGCGAGGCGGCTCGCGGTGGGGGCGGGACGGGGCTCCGCCGCCGCTACGACGGCAAACGCGCCGGCAGCGACCGCGCCATCTTGGCGTGCGGGTGATCCGCCGATTGTCGTAAGTTCACTCTGCAGGAGGACAATTCAAGAATAGTCCAAACATAGTCTGGGCACGAGTTTGGCTCAGTTTGGGGCTATCTTTGAGTATTGTGTTAGTGTTTCATTTCTCTGGCAAAATCCGCCTGTCGGGTGACACGCCCGACCTAGCCCCAGAGAGGTTTGAGGTTTATGAGCTTTTCGAAGGTCGAGGGCGTTGTCCGAGAAAGTCCAGGGTTCGACAGGGGTCGGCTACCCCCCCCCAAAAAAAAAACGATCGAGAACTCCACGAAGCCGTCCAGAACCCCCCGCCGTAGGGTTCCAGAGGGCTTTTTCGGAGGGTGGCGGGATGGTTTCAGCGAGGAGGAGGACGAGGAAGAGGAGGAGGAGGAAGAGGAGGCGGATGGGGGGTTGGAGGAGGGGGTGGAGGCTCGTGGAGGAGGAAGAGGAGGAGGCTCTTCAGGGGCGAGCAGTCTCCAGCAAAACCTGGGCTTTCTAAGGTTCTTGGGTGGCCTCGCTCTGCAGTGGGCAGCGAAGTAGAAACTGGCCTGCCAGTGGGTGCCTCGCATGAGATGCGTGTCTCCCGATGGGGCCGCTGAGTCCCCGTGGGCACCTTACGACGCGCAGAGTTGACGCAGGATGTGCCCCGGGATGTCTTGTGGCAGGCTGTCTTATCGCAGGTGCCTGCTGTGTGTCGGGCCTCCAGGCCAGGCCTCCAGAGACTCGGCAAGAGTGCGCAGTCTGGAGTATTACGCATGTTCGGGCTTTGGAGGCCTCTTCCGGGCCAGACAGCGACGGGTTCCGGGAAGTTGGTGGTCTCCAAACCAGGTGGTGAGACACCCGGTGGTGACCCCGATTCCCCAAAAAAATAATTCTGGGTCACCACCGGGTTTGGGGACACGCGGTCGCCACGAGGTTTTGCGTTTCCTGGGCCAGCCAGCGCTCGAAAACCATTACCCAAATCGCCCAAAACTCACCACCGGGTGTTCTCACCACCACGTTTGGGGACCACCCAGGAAGAGGGTCGACAGGAACCGGGGCCCAGCGACCCTACATATCGACTCGTCGGAGGTCTGGGGCCATACCCTCCCGAGGAGCCCCCTCCCGAGGAGTTCCTCCTCATCCTCACCCTCCTCCTCCTCCTCCTCCTCATCCTCGATCCTCCTCCTCCGCCTACTCCTCCTCCTCCGCCTACTCCTCCTCCGCCTCCTTGATCATCCTCCTCCGCCTCCTCCTCCTCCTCGGTCCCTCCTCGGTCCCTCTGGGGAAGTATCTGTGTGACGGCACTGTGCTCAACGATACCATTTGGATCAACACTGCGCAGCAAAATGCGGCATGGCACAGCATAGAGACCCTGCACGTGCGTGCGAAGGGATCGTGCGCGAGCACGGTTTCACATTCTGACTACGGAGGCTGCTACGGCCCGACTCGCCCCGCCCAAACGGGCGCGCCCCTACGAGCAGTTGGCCGTATGAACGCTCGCTCGCTTCATCGCTCGGTCCCTCCTCTTCCTCCTCGGTCCCTCCAGGCGCCCCGGGCCCGTTTGCCGCCCTTTTGCTCTGCAGCCTAGAGCCGGCGCGCTTCCACCACCGTTCTTCCAACGGGGCGGGATTCCCCAAGAAGCGACGCCCAACAGGCGGCCGCTTCCGAGGGGAGGGGGTGCGCCGGCCAGAGCTTCTATATACTGGGCTCGCCCGGGAGCGCCGCGGGGACCCGCGCGAAGCGGTTGCCCCGCCGCGGGCGCGGCCCAGCGCGCCTCCCCCCGGAGCCTCCCGCGCCTCCCCCCGGAGCCTCCCGCAGCGGCAGCGCCAGCCAGCCCCCTCCGCCCGCACCCCGCCCTCGCGCCCCCTGCCCTGGCTCGCGTTGGCGCCGCCAGTCTGGCGCCGGGGCCCGCTGGAGCCGGCGCGGCAGCCCCGCGCCCGGCGCCGCGCCAGCGCGGCGTCCGGCGTGGGCGGCAGCAGTGACCCCATGCAGCGTGGCGCCCTCGGCGGCCAGCAGGCCCGGCGCCCTCCGCGCTTCGCCCGGGGACCCGTCAGGCCCGGCAATCCCGCGCGCGCAGCTCGGGCGGCGTCGATCGGCCCGCCCTGCGGCCCGCAGCCGGGCCTTCAGCAGCAGCGCGGGCGCCCCGCCGCAGCCCGTGGTTGCGCCAGGCGGCGCGGCTCCTGCCCCGCTCGGCGGCGGCGCCGCTGCCACGGGCTGCGCGGGCGCGGGCGCGGCGGCGGCCTGCCAAGGCCGCGCCTGCGTGGCCGCGGGGACCGCGTCCGCGGCGTGCCGCTGCAGCACGCAGCCGAGGGACTGCTGCAGCTGCCGGCTGGCCGCAGGGCGCGCCGCGCCCCCTTGGGGCGCCGGCTGCCCCTGAGATCCGACGCTGCAGTGAAAATGAGGCATCGTGAAAGAATCACGCACGGGGCCGCAGACCCCGTCTTTTTTCGCGCCACTTTTCGAGCCGCACCGATGTGTGAGGGTGCCGGGGGGCCCGAACTTGAGCGCGAAAGCGCTCGGCTGGAACAAAATGGAGTCGCCAAAATCTATCAGGGGCTGCGCAAGGGCTGCCACGTTTTTGCCGAACCTGAGGTGACCCCCCACGACAATCATTGGGTCGGGAATGTCGCCCTACAGTCGGATTTTGGACGACAGATAAGACAGATTCAAAAATATTCAAAAATAGCCCAACAGGATTTTTAAACAAAAATGTCCCCAGACTATTCTGTACTAGTTTTGAGTTTTCCTCCTATAGAGAGACAGGCCCGACGTAAGGCCGGGATGGCGCGGTCGCTCCCGGCGCTCTGCCGAAGCGGCGGCGGAACCCCGTTCCGCCCGCTTCGCATGCGGCCTCGTGGCCCCGTCCCTCCTCCTCCTCCTGCCTTCTCCTCCTGCCTTCTCCTCCTGCCCCCTCCTCCTGCCCCCTCCTCCTCCTCCTCCTCCTCCTCCTCCTCCTCCTCCTCCTGTGTCCTGTCTCCTGTCTCCTTCTCCTCCTCCCTCCTCCTCCTTCTCCTCTTCCTACTCCTTCTCCGCCTCCTGCCCCCTCATCCTCTGGCCCCCTCTTCCTCTCCTCCTACTCCTGCCCCCTCCTCCTCTCCTCCTGCCTCCTCCTCTCCTCCTCCTCCTCCTCCTCCTCCTGCCCCCTCCTCCGCCTCCTCGTCCCTCCCCCCTCCTCCCCTCCCCCCCCTCCCCTCTGCATCGTCGACGGCATCCGCCTCCGCCTCCTACTCGTACCCCTCCTCCTGCGTCTTTTCCGCCTCCTTTTCCTCCTCCTCCTCCTCCTCCTCCTCCTCCTCCTCCTCCTCCTCCTCCTCCTCATCCTCGATGACCTTCCCCTCGGCCTCCGTCCCACCCTCCCTACCAGGCTCATCCTCCTGCTCCTTGTCAATATCCTTCTCTTCTCGCTTCTCCTCCTGCGCCTCTCTCTTATCATCTCGAGGCCTCCGCTACGGGGTTGTGTTGAACGCTTTCATGGGGCTCTCGTCGCCACGGACGGGCGGCGGGGAGTACTGGCCAGAATATATGATAGATTCCCCTGGAGGGACGACGACGTCGTCGTCGACGTCTTCCTGGGCGGATGTCGTCGGACGGCGACGACGGCGCCGTCGTCGATGGCGAGGTCTGTGCAATAATTGGCACGGCGGATGTCTGGGAGGGGTGCTCCTCGGCAGTGGGCAACGATTGGCTTGGGGGGATAGGCAGAGGGGGGGACGCATCGACCCCCAATCGTCCATCGATCGCGGACAGGGGCCCGATGGCCCACCTCGCCCACGAGCGTGCGCATATTCGCTATCGGGGGCCTGTCGCCGATCTATGGGAGATGTACCGCCGATTCCAGGTCGACGCTTTTCCTCCTGAGCCAGTCACTCCTACTATTGGCCTTCCTGTTCGGCTGTGAGCGCTTCGAGGTCGCGAAGATGGCCGCGCGGTCGCGCGAGGGTTGAGCGATCCACTGTTGGCTGTCCCCTGGCAGGCAGACAGCAGCCAGGCGCTCAACAGCGCATGGGCAGAATAACGCAGCATACGTAACGTAATGCGCAGAACGCACAGGCGTGTGCTGCAGCACGGACACACGGCTGAGCAGACCAGGAGGACAGGGGAGATGAGAATATGGAACGGAAAGAGGACCTCCTCACAGCTAGCGTTGTGGCAACTAAGTTGTGGGCTGTGTCCCCAAATGTTTGCTCATGTCTTCGCTCTGCGGCGGCGGTTCGGGCTGCCATGAGGTGTAGGCTGCGTTAGAGAGTCGAGATAGCTGTAGATCACGCCGGCTATATATATATATAGAGAGAGAGAGAGAGAGAGGGGCAGAGAGAGCGACAGACAGACAGACAGACAGACAGACAGACAGACAGACAGACAGACAGACAGGCAGGCAGACAGGCAGACAGGCAGACAGACAGACAGACAGACAGACAGACAGACAGACAGACAGACAGACAGACAGACATTCAGACAGACATTCAGACAGACAGACAGACATTCAGACAGACAGACAGAGACAGACAGACAGACATACAGACAGACAGACAGACATTTAGACAGACATACAGACAGACAGACATACATATAGACAGTCAGCAAGACAGACAGACAGACAGACAGACAGACAGACAGACAGACAGACACACAGACAGACAGACTGAGAGTGGAACTCGGCGTCGGCGGGGGGACAGACATGCAGAGAGATAGAGGGATAGAGAGAGAGAGAGAGAGAGAGAGACATGCAACACACATGAGGCAGGGAGCAGAGGACGAGGCGGAGGGACGGGAGGGCGGAATCAGGTGAAAAAGCAGGAGGGAGGACGGTGGGAAAGGTGTGTGCTCCTCCACCCCTCCCCCTCCCACCCCTCGTCCTCTCCATCCTCCTCCCGCCTCCCTCCCCTCCCCCCTTCCTCCCACCCACACCCCCTCTTCGCCTCTCCCCCTCGCCTCCGATGGATTACATGGCCAAGCTTTTGCCCACATGGGTGAGTTTCGTATCTCGGGTCAGCGCTGTCACTGGGGTTCCTACCAACATGTTCGGCCAGGTTGTTGCGTCGTCTCAGACGACGCAACAACCAGACCGAATATGTCAGAGGCGTCTCATGGCAAATGCTTGTCATCCTAAACTTTCCTGTCCCATCGATTACTCCTCCAGCGTGGACCCACCAGGCTGCTTGGGAATCCGCATTCAAATCCTCGAGGCGACCCCCATGAGTCGCCCACGTAGGGGTGGGAGGGAGGGAGGGAGCACGGGGGAAGGAACGGCCAGCAGGAGGAGGTGGCTGAGGATTAGGAGGGAGGGGAAGAAGAAGGGGGGTGGGAGGAGGAAGGAGAAGAAGGGGGAGGAAGGGGGGAGAAGAGGGGGAGGAGAATGGGGAGAAGAAGGGCGAGGGAGAAGCAGGGGGGGAGCAGAATGGGGGGGGGATGAGGAGAGATAGACGGATGAGACAGGGAGAGGAGGACGATGAGTAGGCGTAACGAAGCAAGGACACAAGAGGGAGGGGGACGGGTTGAGAGACTGGGACACGGGGATGGCGGGAGGGTGCAGGAAGTGGGAGCCAGTTTCAAGTGTCACTGAAAGAGTGGGGGAGGGGACCACGGCGCTAAGACAAATCCAGTTCCGAATAGCACTCGGGACATGGTCGGGTAATCGGAGAGTCCCACTTGTGATGGCAGGACATAATTTTGTCGTCCGTCGCCAGAATCTGGCACGAGCTGGGGAATCAGGATCGCTGGGGTAGCCGGTGCCCGGGAATGAAAGGACAAATGGCGGTGGAGGAGAGATACGGCGGGAAGGGGCGGGAGGTTACCATGGGAAAACTTCGGGAGCCGAAGAGGGTGCAAGAAGGAGGGGGGCGAAGGCGGAAACACAAAAAACACGGAGACAGAGATGGGCTGTGATGCATTGCTTTTGGACACGTAGCGTGTGTGTGTGTGTTCATGCATCGGTGATGTGACGCGGACAAGTTCGATACGCATGGCGTCCATCTGTCGGGGGGGGGCATGCCGATCGCGGCCTCGGGCCCACGCTTGGGCTCACTGGGCAGGGGACCAGTCAACCAACGACACTGTGCCAGCCGAAGGACAAGAACACACGCACTTGGTGACGGTTTGTTTTTTGTGTTGGGTCAAAGTTCAAAGACAAACCAAGTGTTGCAAAGAGAGAAGGGTAGTTGGAGGTGCCTCAGGACACGACACAGTAGCGGCAGGGACAACGTTGACAGGGCGTAGTTTTGCCGATTGCGGTTGCAAAGGGGCGGGGTTGTTGTATAGTTGCATGCCAAATTCGCCCGGACGAGAGGTAGAGGGTGGTATTACACCTCGGGGTCGCTCGTGCCGAATGGAACGACAGCAGTTCCTGCAAAGCGAAACCACCGAAGGGGGCCTATCTGGTTTCCCCCCCAGGGTTTTGGAAACCAACACAATGCTCATTTGTGCACAAGCTTGGCTTTGATTGCAGTCGACTTATATGGGGGCCGTTCCTGGGACCGCACCGACACCAGGCATTGCAGCGAGCGTGGCGAACTAGGAAGGTACAACATCGCCGGTGTAGCCTGGTGGCAAGGAAGACGGAGGGCAATGCCAGTGGAGGCGAGATACCACAAAGCGGGATCGAAGGGAAGGGCGGGATGGGACCTGAATTTGGCCGTCCATAACCGCGAAGAATTTGCAATGTTGCGTAGAGCAGTGAGTCGCACAAGCTTTAGGCATGCGCGAGGGATGGTGGGGTGGCGGTCTCACCGCCATGCACGCCGCAACGCGCACCCGACCCAAGGGGTAGCAGGATGAGCTGGAGGGGGCGAGAGACCGAGGGCACCACCCTGGGAAGAACGTCAAGCAAGAGCGATGTGGGCCAGATGCAAGACTGATCGGACCGACTGTCGCCTTGGCTTCCTAACCCTCAAGTTGTTGGTGCATGTGTTCATCGGGAGTGTTGTGTGCACTCCATATCCGATGCCCCGTGCGCGCTGCACAAGCATCAAGGCTGCGGCAGGCTTTCGGCATTGAAGAAGCAGGAGGAGGTGGAGGAGGAAGCGAGGAAGAGGGGGAGGAGGAGGAGGAGGAGGAGGAGGAGGAGGAGGAGGAGGAGGAGAAGGAGGAGAAGGAGGGGGAGGAGTGGGAGGGAGAGGGGGGAGGAGAGGTATGGCGAGGGGCAGGGGAGGGGGACCATGGGGGTGGGAGAAGGAGGAAGAGGAGGAGCAGAAACTTGGAGGAGGGGAGAGCGGAGGAGGGAGGAGGGGGAGGGGGACGACAGGGAGGGTGAGGAGGATACCCCAGGCTAATTACTCGCCGCACGACCGCCTGCGCAGGTCGTCCAACGGGGCTTCGGCCTGGAACTGCCGGTGCTGCAGCAATCACAACGACGCGTGGAAGCCGGGGCCGCTTCGAAAAGGGGAGGAGGAGGAGGAGGAGGAGGAGAGGGAGGGACGAGGGAGGAGGACGAGTGAGGAGGAGGAGGGAGGGAGGGGTGATGGAGGAGGGGAGGAGGAGAAGGAGAGAGTTTGCCGAGGGAAGAGGAAGAAGGAAGGGGGGGGAGGAGGGGCAGAAGGGGGGAGGAGGAGGAGGAGGAGGAGGAGGAGGAGGAGGGAGGAGGAGGAGGAGGAGGAGGAGAAGAATGGGAGGAGGAGGAGGAGGAGGAAGAGGGAGGAGGATCAGGAAAGGATGAGGGGAGGAGGAGGAGGAGGAGGGAGGAGGAGGAGGAGGAGGAGGAGGAGGAGGAGGAGGAGGAGGAGTAGGAGCAGGAGGAGAAGGATGATGATGGGAGGAGGAGCAGGAGGAGGAGGAGGAGGAGTTGATCCGATGAGGAGGAGGGGAGGAGGAGGAGGAGGAGGAGGAGGAGGAGGAGGAGGAGGAGGACGGAGAGGGGGTAGGAGAAGGAGCGAAGTTCGATGGTCGAGGACAGTGCTTGCGTCTTTCGGGTGTCTGGGAGACCTCTGGGGACCTGCTTCGGGGGACTTCTGCTGGCTTGCGGGGCCCTCCGCGGGAGGAACAGGAGGTCGACGAGGACGAGAAGGAAGATGAGGAGGAGGAAGAGGAGGAGGAGAGGAAAGTGAGGAGGAGGAGGAGGAGGAGGAGGAGGAGGAGGAGGTGGAAGAGTAGGAGGAGAAGGAGGAGGAGGATCACAAGGTTTGAGGAGGAGGAGGAGCAGGATGACGACGACGATGACTTCCCCCCTCATCATCTTCTGTCCCCCCTCTCCCTCCTCCTCCCCCTCCACCCACATGTCCTTGCTCCTTCTCCCTCCCCCCTCTCTCCCCGCGAGCGCTGCGGGGGGGCACGTGGAGGAGCAGGAGGAGGAAGAGGAGGAGGAGGAGGAGGAGGAGGAGGAGGAAGAGGAGGAGGAGGAGGAGGAGGAGGAGGAGGAAGAGGAGGGGGAGGAGGGGGAGGACAAGACGGGTGTGCGGAGTGTTTGTCTTCTGGGGAGCTCCCGTGCACCGCGGTTGAATTCGCATCGAAATCTTGGTCAGAATGCGCTCTGGGACAGTTGGGGGGGGTGATGTTGAGGACAGATGATTGAAAGCAGGAGGAGGCTCCAGCATTTTGTTGCCACACCTGCGCATCGAGGAGGGCTATGGTCGCGGCAGCCGAATTTGCTTCGCAATCCGGTTCAGACCGCTTCCCAAGAAAGGGCCACGACCCCAGACGACCTTGATGCTTTGGATATGATGTGTTTTGGCATGCGTTGAAGACGTTCTCAGGACCCCGATCTCCAGGGGCCTGGTAAAACAAATTACGCTACCGAGGAGCCCCACATACTTATTTTGTGTCACGTGTGTTCACAAACCATGTCACATCTCGCTTCGCCATCCTGACGAGAGACTGACCAGACCAGCCAGATCAGCCAGACCAGCCAGACTGACCAGGCCAGCCAGATCATTCGTTCCAGCCATACCCAGCCACAGGAATCAGACCAGCCAGCCAGGCCAATCAAGCAGACCAGCCAGACCAACCATATTAGTCATGCCAACATCCGCAGCCAGAATCAGCCGGACTAACCACACGAGCTAACCAGGCCAACCAAGCACACCAACTAGACCAGACCAACAAGAAGAGACCAACCAGACCACGCCAACCAGACCAACCAGACAAACAAGCGTCGTCGTACTTTTCGATGTACTCTTGCAACCCTGCCAGACTAATGTCGACGCTCATCTCGACCATCCGGTTCAAGAGAATGGTGCACGGAGGTGGCAATTCGGCCACTGCACATTTTGGGGGCATGCCTGTGGGCGCCTGCTGTCTTTGAGCCTGCTTGAGCCGAGGTGTCTACAGTTCACCTTGCTGAGATACTTCTGCCGCATACACGCCTGAGGCACCGGTGCATACTGCCCAAGATATAGACTCCAGAAAATGTCAAGGCTGCTACGCTACCTACGAACCCTCTCTGCTGTCAAGCCCCCTGTGGCGTCGAGGAAATGCCACGCCTGCCACGCCCTGGGAGCCTGCAACGCACATGGCCCCCACCCCCAGCGCACCCCCTGTGGCGTCAAGGAAATGCCACGCCTGCAACGCCCTGGGAGCTTGCAACGCACCCCTCCGGTGTCGAGAAAGTGCCACGCCTGCTGGGCCCTGCGACATTGGCGCGTATAGAGACCGCGGTGGGCCCCCACCCCCAGCGCACCCTCTGTGGCGTCGAGGAAATGCCACTCCAGCTAGGCCCTGCGACATTGGCGCGTATAGAGACCGCGGTGGGCCCCCACCCCCAGCGCACCCCCTTTGGCGTCGAGGAAATGCCACTCCAGCTAGGCCCTGCGACATTGGCGCGTATAGAGACCGCGGTGGGCCCCCACCCCCAGCGCACCCCCTTGGCGTCGAGGAAGTGCCACGCCTGCTAGGCCCTGCGACATTGGCGCGTATAGAGACCGCGGTGGGCCCCCACCCCCAGCGCACCCCCTGTGGCGTCGAGGAAATGCCACGCCTGCCGAGCTCAGGGACCACCCCCCTGCACACCCGCTCTGGTGCGAGAAGGAGAAGGGGAGGGGGAGTGTGAGACGCGGGTGCGGCGCGGCAGGGAAAACCATAACCCCACGAAACATGTGGGGAACAAACGACGTTTGGAGTCTGGGACGTTGAGGTGCCCTGCCCAGGCTGCCCAGGTACAAACATCGAGGCAGATGTTCGGAGGAGTTCGTTGGGCAGTTGTTTCTATGAAGTTTTGCTTCCGCCCCGGATCCTGACCCCAAGGGCCACCAACCAGGGTGGACCAAAAGAGTCCCAGAGAGGATCAGGGGCACAATTCGGCACTCGGCAAGGTCCAGAGGAGGGGTGAAGGATAGGAGGGATGAGGAGGATCTGCATGAGGATGAGGAGGTGGGGGAAGAGGAAGAGGAGGAGGAGGGAGGAAATTCAGGGGAGATAGGAGGAGGAGGGGAAGAGGGAGCGAAGGGGGGGGAGGAGGAGGAGAAGGAAGAGGAGGAGGAGGAGGAGGAGGAGGAGGAGGGGTGGGAGGAGGAGGAGGCGGTGGAGGGTTGCGGAAAGGGCAGGAGGAGGAGGCGGAGGAGGAGGAGGAGGAGGAGGAGGAGGAACAGGTGCAGCTGGAGGCCCCCCCGCCTCTTCCCCCATCGCAGGAGGAGCAGCTGCGCAGTCTGCAGCAACTCCCGCAGCACTGCGCAGGGGGGGCAGAGGCCCGCGGGTCCTCGAACCGCGCGCTGCCACGGCTGGACGAGGACGTCGTCGAGGATCGAGCTCCGAGGTTCGAGGTTCGCGGAGGATTCGGATCGACATGCGGTGGGAAACTACGCTTCTCGGCGGTTGTCGTTGATTCTCTGCGGCTTCCCGGCCTCGGGACGCTTTCCAGCGGCTGCGCCTCGACGAGGGCGTTCCGAGGATGCCCCAGAATCGCCCCGAACGGTTGCCAGAGAGCCGAGTTGTGGACCGAAAACCGGTGAGCACCGTCTTGGGGGAAACGGTCAAGAACTTTGGCTTCACGTGTCGCGCCGTCGGTTCTGGCCCACCACGCCACGGCGCGACACGCTCTCGATGGCCCAGTCCCCAAGCGTAAACGTCCCAAGCCCTTCCAGGGCTGCTCTCGTCGCCCCGAGTAGATCGGCGTCGAAATTCTGGCCAGGACGCGCTCCAGGAGAAGTACGTGGTTGATCTTGGAGGAGGGGGAGGAGGAGGAGGAGGAGGAGGAGGAGGAGGAGGAGGAGGAGGAGGAGGAGGAGCAGGAGCAGGAGGAGCAGGAGCAGGAGGAGTGGAGTGGAGTGGAGTGGAACCCATGGCGTTGCCAGACCTGAAATTGACCACACTAATGAAGGGTCCGAGCTTGTCGACTGTCTTGCTCGGCCTTGTTTAGAACCTTGGGAGCTAACCCGTCTCTGATGCGATTCAAGTACGCTCTACCTGTGGGGGAGATAAGGGGGAGCACGTCTTTCCAAGGGACCGAAGCTGCTTGTCAGCGACCCCCCACACCTGCCACATAACCAAATGTCTAAAGCCGTGTGGCAATTCAGGGGAAGGGATGAGTGTAGCCAGCCCCCCCCGCGACGTGAATTGTGGCACCTACAGACGGGGACAGGATAGTGCCGTCAACGTCCACAAGTTGGGGACAAGGGGTCTTCACCCATTCACGCGAGCAGGCCACCGAGGCCGATCCGAGACACTGCACACATCTGCCGCACGCCCCTCCTGCCTCCTGGCGGCTGCCTGCTCCGCCTCGGCCGCGACGCAGTCCAGCGAGGCCTACAGCAGCCGTAGGCGCACACGACGGGCACGTACTCCCGTGTGCCTGTACTCGGTGCCGATCCGCCTCGGGGAGCCTGCAGCACTCCGCCGTGTGGTCCGCCAGCTCGTCAGCGGCCGTGTTTGCAAGGACTAGGCTTCGGACAGCCTTGCCACCGACGATGTCATGCTCATTCTGATGATTGTTCGTGAACAGCAACACTGTAATTGTACTCGGGTTTTTGGTTCGGACAATGTCGTGCAGTGCAACCCGCATGTCCCCGTCCTCTCCACGAGGCCGCTCGTACACACGCTCGTACCATGTATTGTGAAGAGGCTCGTAGTCAGTGATGTAGGTGAGGTGGCCAGTCGTCGCCCACACCGGCAGAACAAAGGCACGAATTTCACCACGAGCGACAACGTGTCTTGGCCCAACCAAAGGGCCAGTCACACTGGCAGCAACATTGATACATGGTTCAATTAGATCAAGCATAGCGATGGCGAGCCCAACCCTTCTGAACTTGGAATTGCTGGAGTCTGGGCCTCCAGATGCATCGCCTGCAGTCATGATTGGTTGGGCAGCCGTACCGTGTCCCATGCACCCACTCGTCAATTCATTGGTCCCGTCGACTGGGGGTGGCACACGCGTCCACGCACGGCTCACTAAGAATACCTCTCAACCAGAATGCTTCACGTCAGTTCATCTGTGTGAGGGCCTCATGTAGTTACCAAACTGTTCGAGTCGTCGTACGCCTTGGCACCCTTGTTAGCCTCACACACCCAGTAGCTATGCACCAAATCCTCAGGCCCCTGGTGGCACCGATCGCAGTCCGAGCTCCCCGAGAAGTTCTTGACAATCTGGAGCTTCCTAGCCTTGGGCCAACAGCCCGCAGCCGCCACCAGAACCATGGTCTCCGCCAGCCTCTTGCCGTGCTCCACCTGACTCAGGTGCTCGATGAGGCGGCGATAGGACACATGATCGACACCTTCCTCGAGTCCACCTCCACAGTAGTGTTGGCTCGCCTGCTCCCACACCTTGAGAGAAGCCGCTCTCTGGACATCTGTCAGGATGCCTTGGTGTGGGAGTCGCGAACACTGCAGCCTGTGAAGGTAGGATCTGCAAACTCCCATTCCTCGTATGTGTTGGACCTTGTCGGGTACGTGGAAGCTGACACTGGCGTCCGACCAATGCGTAACACATTCAATATAACGGCTGATATGGGCCCACGGACGTTAAGTGTTGGGTCAGCTGGTGGCAGTGATGACATCTTGTCCGCGATCTGTCGCCATACCCAGAGGAGGAGGAGGAGGAGGAGGAGGAGGAGGAGGAGGAGGGGAGGAGGACCCGGCAGGACCCAAAAAGATCCCAAGCCGCGCAAGAGCCGCCCCGCCCCAGCCAACATCCCAGACCCTCCTCTCGGTCCTAGGGTCGAGGGGAAGTGCTTGACGGTGGGGGGGGGGGGAGGAGAGGGAGGAGAGGGAGGAGGGGGAGGAGGGGGAGGATGATGATGATGAGGAGGAGGAGGAGGAAGAGGAGGAGGAGGAGGAGGAGGAGGAGGAGGAGGAGGAGGAGGAGGAGGAGGAGGACTATGAGGAGGAGGAGGAAAAGGAGGAGGAGGAGGAGCAACATCCCGGACCCCTTCCTCGGTCTTTCAGTGGCGAAGCGTCTTGGCTTCCCGATGAGCCCACCAAAGAATGTTGCATGAACTTGTTAGAGTCTTCGCGGAATGTTCTTACCTGTGGGACCACCCTTCAGGTGATAAGGATGTTGCGGGGGAGAGAGAGAGAGAGAGAGAGAGGGGGAGCCAACATCTGACTCAATCGATCTCACTATCGATCTCACTCAACGGAACACCACAGGACACCACGGGACACTTGTCGATCTCATTATCGATCTCACCATCGATCTCACTCAACGGGACATCACGGGACACCACGGGCCACCACGGGACACCACGGAACACCACGGGACACTTGTCGATCTCACTATCGGTCTTACTATCGATCTCATTATCAATCTCACCTAACCGGACACCATAGGACACCACTGGACACCACGGGACACCTCGGGACACCTTATCGATCTCAGTATCGATTGCACTACGATCTCGCTCAACGGGACACCATAGGACACCACGGAACACCTGTCGATCTCAGTATCGATCTCACTATCGATTTCATTTTTTGGGACACAGGACACCACGGGACACTTCGGGCACCACATCAATCTCACTATCGATCTCACTATCGCTCTCACTCAACGGGACACCACGGGACACTTCGGGCACCACATCAATCTCACTATCGATCTCTCTATCGCTCTCACTCAACGGGACACCACGGGACACCTTTCGATCTCACTATCGATCTCACTATCGATCTCACTTTATGGGACACCACGGGACACCTCGGGGCACCACATCGATCTCAGTATCGATCTCACCATCGATCTCACTATCGATTTCACTATCGATCTCACTATCGATCGCACTCAACGGGACACCACGGGGCGCCACGGGTCACCGGCGGGACACCGCGCGACACCGGCCGCCAGAGGAGAAACATTTGGTCCGGCCGCGGCCCAGCCACAGGAGGATTTCGGGACACCAGCGGGACACCGGCGGGACACCGCGCGGTACCGGCCGCCGGAG